AAAAATTACTTCAAAACTTCAGACTTATTTTCGTTTTGATCTTATGGTTAACAATCTTAAGCTGAATTGGTCAGGCTTAGATAAACTTAGCAAGCAAAATAAAATCCATAAATTGCATTATTTAGCTTTAGCAATTCGCCATCTAATGGCAGCGGTTCTGGTGTGGTGATGTCGAATCCATCATTCATTTTGTTTTCATTGCTTTTAAATAGGCCTTTCGGGTCGATTATAGCTTCAAAGGCAGTGTTCACGAAGACACAATTTTTTTTCATTTTTACAAAGCCGCGTTTGATAAATTTTCCCTTTGGATTTGGTTGTAAAGGAACGGCAAACAGTACCTGATTCACACACTATTTCATGAAGGTTGAATAACAGGCACCGACTTTCCCGGCAACCTTCGGTCGTTCACTATGTGTATTGTATTCTGTTGGGTTTAAATGCTACCAGATGTGCAGCGTTTTTTTGTCCAATTCGGGTGAAACGAGAAAAGCTTGACAGCTTTTTTATTTTTCTATTTGCACACGTAATTCTGCTAACCTATATATAGAGACGAATTAGATTAACTATTAAAAATAAATCTTATCTACCTACTATAAAATAACAAAAGTGTAAAACGAAAAATAGAAACCAAATCTATAAATAAACGAGAGAAAGAAACCATGTTCATTAAATATCCAACACTCACAAGACTCACACTCTCAACCGGGCTGTATAGGCGAGTAGGGACTCAACATCTAAATCGCTGCAAACATTCAAAAAGCTTGGCAATCAATTATAGTGAACATACTTAGTTTCTTCGACAGTTAAATTGAGTACGAGCTCGCTTATTACAGAGGAATACATATCATTTCGATTTTTGCAAAACGACTAAATGGGAATGCTTATATTATATCTACGTTGACTGAACTTTATGGAAGTAAAGTCTCTAGAAGAGTGACGAGGAACATTGAAGTTTATCTCACATAACAGTTCCAGCAGCTCAATAGTGCCATCTATTAATTAAAGTAAGAAGGAAACATTTAGAATAAAAAATTTACGCTTCTCTCATGAGGGTAAGACCAGCAAAATTTGGTAAAGAGATAACGGAAGAAAAGGCTATACGACACCTATAAGAAGGAGACTATACGACTGAGGCATACCCAAGTGTTGGTCTCGCCAAATTAATGAAAAGCCTTTTCTTAACATATGGGCCAAGCTCTCCGGCCACCGTTTAATAAAGTCACGTAAGGATCTAGCTTTATTTATAAATGGCTCAACGAATCAAATCGAATTTTATGGTCAAATAATACTCCTAAATCCAATTTTTGTGAATTAATGATATACTCATTAAAAAAGGAATTTCGTCTAGAGGAGGAAAGTTTCTTGCATTTTTTTAGGGTTCATTCCATAAAACCTTACGAGCACCGTATACTTGAGCTGTCTAGATCCGGCTGAAGAAAATTAGACTGCGATTCCGTATTAAAAGAGAAAAACAATTTCACTTCGTCAGCGTATATCTGGATTCGGCTGGACCTAATCCCCGAGGAGAAGTCATTGATGTATAAGATAAATAGCAAGGGGCCTAAGTGGATCCCTTGTGGGACATCTCCCTTCACGGAAAATTCATCAGATGTGGTAGAGGTGAAAAGAACTCTAAATTTTTTATTATGAGAGCCTAATTACTCCCAGAGGTATAAAGAAAAAGCGAAGCCCTGAAGTTTAAAGATCAATAATTTGCGGCTAATTAACACAAAGGCTTTACTGAAGTCTTCATATATGACATCAATGTGAGAGCCACTAGGAAAAGCCATGAAAACACGGCAATAAACTGCTAACAAGTTCGTAACGATTGATATGAAGAAATAGAAGACTTAGTGCTGATATGCAGACTGACTGGACTGACAATTCGTTCAAACAACTTGGATCAAACATTCAACTTGTTCTCAACTAGACGCCTGCTTTCGCTTTCCTGAATAAGAATAAGAAAGCTGCGCTTCCGACACTAAGCGAAAAACCCTATCTACAAAGAAAGATTGAACATCGTAGGTATAAGATCATATAGTTCGTCGGAACATGACTTCAGTACACATAACGGAATGCCATAAGATATTAACGCACAATTACATATCATCGACCCTAAAACTAGCCGTAGGTCAATTTCAGAAATAATCAAATTCCAAATGGATACAGTGTTTACTGTTTTTATATACTCAAAGGAGTCAGAGCTATTAAACGACATCGATGAGGTATATATTGAGACTCTTTGGAGTTGCAAATTTATTAAATTGTTTAGGATTAGTAAGAAACGAAGATTTTATCGTTTGAAGCTATCTGCAATAACTTTGATAGTGTTAACGAGATTAAAGCTGTGCCTTACAGTAGAGTAGATGAAATTGTTGTGGGCAGTACTTGTTTTGAAAAGTTTTTTTTTCCCAATTTTTATAGCATATAACTGTTTTTCTAACTATGGCTGGCAAGTGCTTCGAGGGGAGGGTTTTCTAATCGAAACGAAGGCGGAAATAGTTAAGTGTACAAAGTCGAGAAATTAGGATTTTCATATTCTCAAGTGAAGTTTGCTTTACTAATATGATTGAACGAGTGAGATTGAAATTCTAGACAGCGATTAACAATTATTTCAAGGAAATTAGCAAAGGTAAGAACTAAGAGTCTCCCATTACAACTAATGTTTACATTGAAGAAGATTTCAATTATATAATTTATTGAAAAACGCAATGGTTTTTTCAAAAGTTAAAGTGGGAACCATGCAGCCTGCCTTGATACTAGGACATCAAGTGGCACCGCAGCCACTAAAATCCCCCAACGCTGTGACCCTACCAGTACGTTTTATATATATTGCCAATTTTCACACGAACAAAAAATTTCACCTCGTTAGGAGGCAGGAATATGAATGCGAGGGGAACACATCTGATATGGCGATTAAGACGCGACGGTTTAGACGATCTTTTCTAAAAACATGAAACGTGTTGCGCAAAGATCTAACGAGTGCAGTGCAGGCTTTAGCCAGGTTTCAGTGAAAACCAAAGCCGAATATTCTGAACTGATAATAATTAGACCAACTTTTGGATTTAGGTTCCCGATATTTTGGTAAAGGATGGTCACAGAGTAAAAGAAGAAATTTAGTTTTTCGCTCTCCAATTGCACAAGAAGAGCCCCGAACGGATAAATATTTTTTATTTTTCTTTCTTAGAGACTTGACCGTTTTCGAGACACTAAGAGGAGATATTCTTGTCGCATCCGCATAACTAACTTGAGAGGAACTACGTTGGCCATTTTTCGTAGCATTCTTGATAGTATTAGAAATTTGCGGAATTTGTTATCTGATTGCTAACAGTAGAAGTAATAACTTATAGTTTACTATCGTAGAGTTATTAGTTAAAGGGGAAGATGGAACACTAAGCGCCATTAAAAGATAGCGACGTGACGTCTACAAACTCGTTAGTGGGAGGTAAGCTGAGTGAAGTAGCCGCGGGGACTTTACCATATGTATAGTTTGGATTCCAGGTTTTCCACCCACCCCTTTGGACATTCTTATTGGCCTCGAACATATGCCTACTCGTTTTTATATGTTTCTAAAATGTTATGTTCAAATCCTACAGAATATGTGACAATGCATTTAAGCTGCCTTGCTCCGCTAATAGGCGTTCTACCAATCTTTTCAACTAAAGTGCAAAACGATGCTTCTTTGCTCCTCTCGGAGCACTGGCGAACATTCATTTGAAGTATTGACATCGTAGCTGAAAGGTTTTTGTCCACTAAGAAAAAATCAAAGTTAGGCTGTAAACGTAATGAAGCTTCGGTTATGTTTTCACCTCTGAGAGGCACATTCAATTTGCAAATTTTATAAATGCTTTTTTTAAATTTTTACAAATTTGTAATTATATTGTTACGAAAATAGCATTTATGATGATTTCAATTTTCATGAAAATTAGTCGATTTTCTAAGAAGCTAAATTCTAAAGAAGTGAAAAACCAAGTGTACGTTCAGGGCATCTTACCCGCATCAAGCGTCTGGCGAAAAGATTAACAATTTGCAGAAATTTAACGGAGGAATGGGTTAACGGATTGAAAATGTTGCGATGAATTTAGGTAAGGGTAAATTGCTTGTAACACGGTATATAAGCAGAATATTTGCGGAAAGCAAAGTCAGCCGTAAACTAGTCGAAATTTGAGTTGAAAGTGAGTCGGGGAAGTCGCGTCGAGAGATTTGAATTGCAATATTGGAAAGACCAGAACGAGACTTAGTGTTGTAAATATAAGTTACCGTAAGTAATTTGTAAATGAAACCTATGCCGTCCAAAAAATCGCAATTCAGTATTGCGAACTTTACTTCAAAAGAAGTTCAATAAATAATGTAAATTCGCAAAGGACGGATCTACTTTACAATATATAACTTCGTATAATATGTACATTAAGGTCGTATAAGTTAAATTTATTTCTGATTTTATGAAAAATTTGTAATTTAAATGATGTTCCCAGCCCTGCGAATATAAGCGAACCTAATGTGTCAGCCCCGTTACTCATTCCTTAGATTATCCAAGCCCACGGCGGACACGTTTGGTCTGGTAATATGGATAAACATTTACCGTGTGTCCTTTTCCAATAATTTCTAAAAAATACATTATTAGAATGATGGATTAGTATTTAACCAAACTGTGAAAGACAGCTAGAGTAAACATAATTTCGCGTTGCAGAACCAATTGCTAAATAAACAAGCCAGAAATTGTTGAACAAAAATATTTATCTCTTTTTCTTTTATTATTTAAGAAAATGTAATTTTCAAATTGATTTTCAAAGTTTCAAACCTATTTTCAACGTCTAATTTACTAGAAATTCGAAACATTCTGATAACTCGATAGCACTACTGAGCTTTTGCGACCTAAGAAGAAGAAGAGGCGTATAGAGTCAGCTGTAACTTGGAAATAAAAAATTTAAAAAACTTTTCAAGTATTACTGCATTTGCAAAAATCTATTTAATAATTTATTAAGTAGTTTTCATGAAAGATGGATTTGTCATTTGCGCAAACCCACATAGAGACAGAAATCCACAAGCGGGATGAAAACTTAAGAGAAGAACCTCCGGCTAAAAAACCAAGAACTGAAAATAAAAACAGTGCAGAAATTACGAAAGTTAGTAAAGAAGACGTACCGAGTGGTAGCGTTCAACAAAGATGTAGTCCAAGAAAACGTTTGGATATACGCCCATTAAACGAGAGTCTTCAACAAAAATCGGCGATTCTGCCAAAGAAATGTAAGCAGAAGTTTATTTATGGTAATTATTCCAAATACTATGGTTACCGTAACATGGACAAAGTTTTCCATGATGTGCGCCTAGATGTGTTTAACGCATATTGCGATTTATTTACTGAGAAAAGTGTGCTAGATATAGGCTGTAATACTGGCATTTTAACGATAGAAATAGCCAGACGATTTAAAGTGAAATCTATAATAGGTCTGGATATAGATCGTCACCTCATTGATCAAGCCTTTAAAGCTTTAAACAGGCGAAAGAAATTGCTGCCTTTTGATAATGAAAGTAAAAGAATGGAAATATTTCCTTTCAATATAAATTTCGTTCATGGCAATTACGTTTTAAAGGATGATGTCTTACTGGAAATAGAGAAGCCGAAATTCGAAATTATACTTTGTTTATCATTAACAAAGTGGATACATTTGAATTTTGGGGATAAAGGAATAAAGCAAACTTTTAGGCGTATGTTTTTGCAATTGAAACCTCAAGGCGTGTTAATATTAGAAGCCCAATGTTTTAACAACTATGCTAAACGTAAGAGAATTACGGTAAGTAAAAAAATGTTGTCTGTGCCATGTCTAGCGTCTTTTTTTAAAACATCGCTTTGTTACCATCTAGAATTAAATTGAAATCGTGAACTAACTTCTATTAAAAAAAAAAAGAGACAAACTTTGAAGGTCATCATTCTCATTTCAAAAATATTAAGACTTCCGCATATCCATTCAACTTCCATTTCCAATAGAAGCCTTTAACAAAAGACGCCACGACGGCCTATTTTAAAAATTGATTGGAAGATTACAACATTCATATATTTTTTAGGATACCATATATCATAATTATCGGGCTATTGAATTTTTTCCCCAGGATTTCCATACCTACTTATTAAGTGCGGAAGTCGGTTTCAAGAGTTGTGAGTTAATGGGTGTACCTGATCATAGTAAAGCCGGTTTTCAAAGGCCCATATACATATTTTATAAATAAAATAAATAGATTAAGAAAGAATAATAACAATAAGAAATTTATATACATAATCTTTCAGTTTTATTTTACTAAATTTTCTTGATTTTCTTATAATTTGGCGACGGGGGCGGTGTGACCAGGTTTTCCATAACTTCCGGTAGGTGTTTTTCTAACAATTCCTCGCTACTTAATTGAAAGTTACTGTCAGCCCAAATTAATTTTAATTGAGCCAAAACCAAACCAATTTTTCTGGTCGGGATAGATCCCCTATCCTTCAGTATATTGCCATTCACTGGAAACGGAGGAATTCGCCAGGATCTTAACTTATCGTACAATTCTCTTTTGTGCTTGTACTTCAATAGTTCTTCTACGAAGTCCCGTCGGATATAGGTCTGCAAGCACAACTTTTGGTAATCTCTTAGAGACACATAATCCTCATCCACCTAAATTAAAATTAGAGTTACGAAAAATTTGAAAGCTTTTTTGTGCTAAAGAAACTACCTTTTCTCGTTGTTGTGTTATAAAGAATGCTAAGTCTCTTTCAAATGCTGAGAATTTTAATCTCTCATGCATTTTTACTGCATCTTCCACGGAGTGCACTAACGAAATCATAAAAAGTATGGGCTTATGAGGGTTTTCAAAGTCTTTCAACGCTAAACAGAGACGTTTAAATTCTAATACATTTGGCCTCAGAGGGAGACCACAATACACGGCTAATCCGGAGTTTATCATCTCAAGCATTATTTCTTCCGAATAATTACCCAGCAACATTTTTTGTAATTCTCCCCATATTCTTTCACCGCTTATGTTGGCAAGGCCTTGCGCATTAGCTCTAATGGCTTTCAAAGTTAATTCATCATGTCTACCAGCATCAGGAGCTACGCGCCCATAAAAGCGAAAGTATCTTAAAATCCTCAAAAAATCCTCTTTTATTCGCTTATTAGCATCACCCACAAATTTCACACGTCTTTGCTGCAAGTCTTCGTAACCATAGAAGTAATCGTAAAGAGTACCATCGAACCCTAAAAACATGGAGTTTATGGTTAAATCCCTTCTGTTAGCATCCAGCTGCCAATCGGTGGTGAACTTAACTTCTGCATGCCGTCCGTCAGTAACTACATCAATGCGTAATGTGGTCACCTCAAAATTTTCTTTATCGCCTATTCGGACAGTGATCGTGCCATGCTTTTCACCTTTAGGATTTATCATTCTTATCTTTTCTAAAGTAAACATTTGTTTCATTTGCTCCGGAGTGGCAGTCGTCGCAAAATCTACATCTTTTGGTGTTATTTCCATTAATATATCACGTACTGCCCCGCCAGCTATACGTAACTCATAATTGTATTTGCAGAATATACCCACTAGAGTTTTTAATTCGTCTGTGAATATGCTGCGAAATTCTGGAGTATTTAATTTCCTTACGACTGGGTTTGCACGCATTTTGTTCAGCTTGGTTATAATTTGAAAATTAGAATTATATTTACTTATATCGCTTAAAGAGGAGGACAGCCAACGGCTCACTGTATGAACGTAAATGCAGCTACAACCTCTCAAAGCACAAAAATTCCTTAAAAGCCACATTCTTGATTTAATAATAATAATAATTTGCACACATATGTACTATGAAAATCCAGATACGTTAAAAAACAGCTGTTTGACGTAAAACAGGGAGGTAATCACGTATCTAAAAGTATAGTATCAGCCGTATTTGTTCTTCGCCTATGTGATAATGATAATAATTCAGGACACTGAGTGCGTATAGCGTAGTTAAATTTGGTTATCGAGCTTATGTGCTCTATGTGTGCAGAAAAGATGTGAGAAATGTTCTCTTACATCTGTCAAAGCAGCAGAAAGAAGCAGCTAAATTATGCACTGGCTCTCAACAAGGTTTAAACCTTTTAAAAGTTGTGGTAAAAAATTACCATCCGCAGAAATCCAACGTATGCTGCAAAACCACAAGAAAACAGAACGAAAGTTTTTCTGCGAATATTTGCATACTTTGATGGAAATAGCCAAACCAATTTGGCTGAACGAAGAAAGCTTAATTCACTACTTTTCGGACGGTATTCCTGATCTCAAGTAGATTAAGCCCGTTCTGTTGCAATCTGAAGATTTAGATGATCTGAGAAAGAAACTAAAGATATATGAAAAATTCGTAGCACGAGACATACAGCAGCCACTATGCAACCATAGCGAAAGAAAATCTTGATACCGAACATTCAATTTATTTTCCAAAGAAATAGTCCAAATGCCGGGAAGAGATCGTTCAGTAAAGCAGTGCAGCTCTACAATTATCATTTGTTTTAAGTGTAAAAGTGAAAGTCACAAACCTTAAAGCTAAAGTTAAGTCGGTGAACACTAAGTGTTTCATATTACAATATTATGGAAGAAGTTAGCTCGAACAAATATAATCGCGTTTTTAAAATTATAAAAGTAAATGGAGTGACGTTTTCTCCAATTTTGGATTTAGCTATTGATACATCAATAATAATAATACATCAAGATACATCAAGAATTCAGCTGGATATTTTAAAATAACTGTTAACATAGATAATGTCGATATCGAAGTCAAGTTTTACGTTGTTAAACATAATGCATGTCCAGTGTCTATAGGCAATGAAGTTTTGGAACAAGTAGATATAATTATAACTTCAGATGAACCAAAGTTTATTGAAAGACATTGCGAAAAATAACTCCAACAGAAAGAAGCGATGGAATTAAGGAAAATAACTTCGGAAATGGATATTGAAAACCGACATACATAAGAAACTGAAAATAGGGAAAAAACGAATACGAAATAAAGCTAAAGTTGGAGGAGATAAAAAACTAGAAGAGCAATTAGACGAGCCTATAATGGAAAAAACAACCAATATACACATTCCAGAACTAATGTAAAATTTAGAATTATTTGTTCGTTGATAGAGCCGCCACAGTCAATTCATGTATGTGACTTATTTCAGGGTGATGTATCAAAAGCCATAAAAATTTTTCGCGATTTTCCCGAGGGTGTCAAGAGACGATGTCATATATAAATTGCAATCAAGCAAAGTGTAAATAAGTGTAAAATGCAAGGAATGGCTTCTTCCATGAAAATTCTCGCAAATACAAATACAGTGACACATGGTTTGTAACTCACAACATTCATTATGAATTCTTGTAGGTACCTTTTAGAATGAGCAAATCTCCTCCTTTTCGAGATGTTTCGAGAATTAATAAAAGACGTGGCAATCATAACCTACGTGCAAGTAAGGCAATTTTCTATCAGTCCAGGGCCTTCATTGTTTAAGAATTCACCAGCAATTATCGAACAATTTAAGGAGAAAAGGGAAAACACAATGTTTTGGTTTTTGCTAATTCCACTATTTTGTTTTTGTTTTTTGTGTACCACTTGCAATGTATTGGAAGTTCGAATTTTGTTACTTTAGAAAGCAAATAAATGAGTGAACTTTGAAGTTTGTTCCTTAAGAGAGTAAGTAAATGAGCGAACTTCGAATTTGGCCAAATTAAAGGAGAAGTACATTTGCATTTCATTCACACTCGACACAACACGTCATCTCCGCAAACCGCAGCTGGATAATTTTTGTGTTTACCGGTGTTAGTGAAAAAAAAAAAAGAAGAGATTTTAAATATTTGAAAAAAGGAAAAGAGGTTTAATAAAGTAATGAAATAACCAAAGAAAACAATTTTAAAGAAGGAAAAGGAGGGAAGGAGGAGGAAACTCTCGTGAGAGAAAAATTAAGAAGCAATACATATATTCAATTATTATTTTTTGTTTTTTCTTTGTGATTTTTTTTTTTTGCGTTCCCTGTGATAACAACCAAAACAACATCAGCCCGTCTCCCTATGGAGACTGGGTCTGATCCTATAACTACAAGTAGAGACTGTTTTGAAAATTTTTACGTGAACGCCACTGGGCACACCAAGAGATCGAAAATGGGTGAGAATAATATTCTTTTATCTGATAACGGGGAGGCTAACGCAAAGGTTTTAATTCCGCCTAGTAAACAGGCTACCGACAAGCCCTCTGATTTGGGTGCCACTGGCGCCCCAAATGTCGAGATTAATTTGTGCGATTGCCTTTCAAACTGCAATTTTGTCGTTTTTGTCGAAACGTGCGCGGACGCAGAAGAAAATCGCATCAATATTATCTCCAATCTCTATTTCTATGATTACTTGAAGGATTTCGGTATGTACGACTTAAAAGAATTAAAAGTTGTCAGCAGGGGTAGAGCCAAACTTCTTTTCAGCTCCGCTGTCAATGGCAACAATTTTGTTATGAATAATGAATTTAATAAAAAGCATTTAAAAGCGTACACACCGAGGTCGTTCACTGAGAGATTTGGGGTTATTCGAAACATCCCATGCACATATAGTGTCGATGATATAATTAAAAACGCCGTATCCGATATTCCGATTAAGTCCGCTGTCCGTTTCCAAAGAAGAAATCCCAACAACAAAGACGAGTGGATTCCCACAACCAGCATCAAAGTTGGCTTCAAAGGGTCTGCCGGTCGAATACTTTGTACCCACTTTAAAGCAGTGCTTTAAGTGTGGCAGATGCGGTCACGTATCTAAATTCTGCAAAGCCAAAGAGAGCAGGTGCCTTAACTGTGGAAAGTCTCCGAAGTGTGTAAATTGTGAGGCGATGAAGTGCTTGTCCTGTGGCTCAGGTGAGCACAACGCTCTCAATAAGTGTTGCTCTAATAGGGAAACTGAATTAAACATCAACAGGATAATGGCGATTAAAAATCTTTCGTATAAAGAGGTCAAAGAGAATTTTTTCGAAATTTATTTCGAATGTCTCGATGACAACACTTATGACGGCAATTTCTCTCCACCGGAGAACACGCCTGCAATTTCAATCAAGGATGATAATCAAAATGCCAACAAAATCTTAACCAAAAATAAATACAATGCTGTCGTCAAAAGGAAATTGGTTCCCTCCAAATATCTTATCAATTCACCCACCAAGCCTTCTCCCAATACACCCCCCAAGTCTCCTGGAACCTTCTTGGACCGAAAATTTCAAACATTCATTTGCGGTTTTCAGAACTTGAAAGACTAATTCACGCGATTCAAGAAAGTATCCGTCCGATGATCCCTCACAATCTTATTAAAGAATTTGAAGAAAATATGTCTGTCTGTGCTATTTCTTGCCCCGTTCGAGCATCCAGTACTGCGAGGAAATCCGCTGGGGTTCTTTCTCAAGTTTCAACATCATATCTTATCTTTTCTAGATTTTTGCTTAAACTCAAACAAGATCGATTTTTGTATCTTAGGTGAAGTTTTTCTGAAAGATGAAAATTGTTTCGAAGTTAAAGTTTCGAAATATGCCTCAGCCACCAAATGCCAAAATGATGGCTATGGTGGTGTTAGTATATTAGTTAAGAAAGGTGTCAATTTCAGACGTATTCCCTATAACTCTGCCGTTGACATCATCATCATCAAAACCATCAACCTGAAACCGAATCTTTTCATAGCCTCATGCTACTTTCCACCCAGTCTTGATGTGCAAACCTTTCGTGATGAGATTCAGAGATTATGCGACTTTCTTTACGGTGAACAAAACGTGATTCTAGCTGGAGATTTCAATGCAAGACACCGCCTGTATGGCGATCAAGTCTCTACCAACAAAGGCAAAATCCTTGTAAATGCCATCAATTCGAGCAGTTTCAGTGTCTTAAACAATGGCAATACTACTTTTCACTGTAACCGGAGCGGTCGCACGGCGAGCAGTGTCTTGGATCTAACTTTCTCGAACTCAACTATTTTATCTTTCAACTGGAACACGTCCAATGTTTCCATTGGCAAAAGTCAGCACTCCCCCATTATATTCCACAGTTGTAACAATTCCGTCAAGAAAATAGAAAATTTCATTTCACGCCACTTCCTTATGTCTGTCTAAAGTTGATCTTCCTTCTGATATATCATCAATTCAAAGTGCCTTTCAGTCTGTGATCATGTCTGCCAGAACCAACTTCCCTGACATTGAGTCCTTCTCACCTAAACCTGGTGGAATCCTTCCCTGTCAACACTTTTCCGCAAATACCAAGCTGCAAGAAAAAAAATGAGTAAATATGCCAATCCAGCCAACTACATTGAATATATGAAAATACTGAAAGAATGGAAGTCTGCAGTTAGAAAGGCGAAAAGGGCACATAGAGCCATCGCTATTAAGGAGTTATGTGGTAACGGCAACTCACGTTCCTTCTGGAATTATATCAATGGTCATCGACATTCTAGTCGAAAATTAAGCGGTTGTTCTGTATGGAATGACCGTGATAATAAAAAATACTTAGATATACTCAAGAGGTACATTCCAATTGTTAATCCTATTACAATGCCTTCAATTCCTTTTAGTAGTATCAGTAACACACCCTTTTCATTGCATGAGCTAATGTATGTTTTACATTCCAGAAAGAGAGCTACTGCTGCAGGTTGTGATGGAGTCAAGTATGACATGCTCACAGCACTGTCTGGAGGAAGCTTTAGCATGCTTTTGCATGCAATTAACAACTGCTGGTCCACCAACTTTATACCCTCTGATTTGCGTTGCATCAAAATAGTTCCCATTCCCAAGCCAGGTAAAGACTTTAATGAT